TGCAGAAATTAAATTAAAAATATTTTGACCAGAATACTGATATTGCATGATTTATATTAATAATATAATACTCAAAGTGCATTTCACATAAGGACCCAATACACGCTTTAAGAGTAGGATAAACAATATAATATAATATAACATAATATAATATAATATAATATAATAGCAAAGGCTGCACCAATTCCAAAAATTATCAAATGTGCAAAGTGAATAATAACCGATACTAAAAGATTTTGTCAATAAAGAATTTTTAAAATTCTTCTTATAAAAAAAATCATAATTACTAACACATTATTTTGGAGAGATGCGACTACTGTATATTAACCAACTTTGATACTTCCCTGTCTGATTATTGTTATGTCCAAAACTTTTCAGAATAAAATAAGAGATTGGAAACCTATTAGATCAAAGGGGTAAATAGTGCTATGGTTGTTCTCATTGAGATTTTGAATCTGTCATATTTTGTTCATGATAATTTTTAGAAAGCTGACACATTCAATCCGTGAATATCATCTTGTCACTGAATCTTTTATCATGTCTGATGCGAGAAAATCATGCGTGGATAGTCACTGTCTGTCAAAACATATGGCACTCATTCTTGCTCCTATAATTTCAAGACCGAAACATCAATCAAAATAGGTTCCGATCGACAATCATATTCAGCTATACGAACAGATGTGACACGCTACGAAACCCTACAGATGTCAACGAATCTTAAGTGGAAGAAAATAACATGAAGAGGCGGTGAGATGAAAGGAATGTTTGGTTAGATTTTGGACAGTGTTTTTGTCAATAAGGAGGACTGTGCGTGATGCCACACCTCTTCACACGTACTGGTCAGGACTGGACATGGTCACATGTATAGCCTAGGATACTAGATGGACAGATAAAATTGCTTTGTGTGATTCATTCAGTGAGAAAATCTGGCATACTAAAAGCATACAATCAAGGGAGTGTGTACAAAAACCAAGCCGTTTGGCCAAACAAAGTGTCGTTTACAGTACCGAGCTGGTTCTATTAATGGTAGGCTCTAAAGCTCTGGTTAAATTGTTGTATGCCCATATATAATCATGATATGCTTATATATGGTCATGATGTGATGTCATCATGACTATATTTAGGCATGTCATGATTTGTGAAATGAAATTTGATAGTCTGGACAGGGCCATACATAATAATAATAAAACATAAATTAATTTAAATAATAAACTGTAAATTAAAGTTGTTATAATAACTTAAACATCTTTTTATTAAATATCTTATTAAATCATTTAAAGTACATGAAGTAACTTATCCCAAATGTAAGTTGAGTACCTTCAACTTCGATAATATATTCATGCTGGCTACTATTAGTAGTAATATATTATGGTCAATACTATTTAGTAGGATAATCCAAATGAAACATTCAAAGTCACACACTACTGTATGTACATTTGTTTATGGAAATTTACTGTAGATAATACAATTATGAGAAACTGAAAAAAAAAGAACTAGGCTTTATAAACCAGTATGAACAATCAACAGGCCTGAAATAAGTGGGTAAGCATGAGATGAAGAAATGAGAACCATGGGATTTTATCATTTATTTTGTCAAATAACAAGAAGCCAGACAATAATTTCAGAAAGAAATCTCAAACCCTTGTCAGTGACCAGGTAAATGAATAGCAAAAATAAAATTGCTGTATATGTTTTGTGTTGCTGGCAAGTCAAAAAATAAAAACCTCACAATTATTTACACATAGCCTTTACATTGCATAAAAACAAATTTAAAAAAAATAAAATCCTATAAAAACTACCTCAATAAAATAAAATGGTATGAACAGTCTTAAAATAAAGGCGTACAAAGGCCTGGGATATAGGGGTTACCATAATAATAAATCAAGAGGCTTGAAATATGCCAAATACAACAAGCCTAGAACAAAGGAATTAAAAAGCTAGGAATAAGGATCTGGATATATATGCCTTGTGTTGTACTCTGAGTAAGCCTGAAATATATATACTGTACATGGACAATGCTAGAATAGGGATGGGATGAAAGGAAAGGACTGGTTTCAAGCAAAAATGAAAGAAAAGGTCTACAATATAATTATGAATCCTACAGTACAACAAACCCACGGGAGACTAAATAATAAGCATCGATTGGAATATTCAATATCTAGAGATACAATACAAGACATGTGTAGTAACCAGCACATCATTTCAAATTAATTACTATAGCTAGTTGGATATCAAATAATTACACGGTTTATAAACCCTGAGACACTTAACTAAGATACCTACTGGTATATCAAATGTACTGTATAACCTCACTTGCAGGTAATAATTAACACAATAAATAAAAGCAACCAAAATCTAGTGATCCTACCATACTAAAAATAATATTTCTACTATTTTTTCCTTAAAAACTAATAAGCCTAAAATCATATCTTCAGGTAATTATAAAAATTTCAGTAAAATGATGTCCCAGGCTTATAATGAATACAATAAAGAGAAGCAACATATGGTATTAAAAATTATTTTAGTAACTTGTATATTCTATCAAGTATACTGATATTATTTAAAACATAAATTAAAGATCTGAATTATAATTTGAAGTTCATCTCCATTTTTACAAATCTTTTAATTTTATATTGTATTTGTATATCCAATCCTCAGCAACTGAGATTGCAATAAAGGTTACATGTATTTGAATGAGTGACTTTAGGTTAATAAATGTTAAGTTCAATACACTATTGTATCATTGTATTTTAAACTCTCTCTAAAGAAACTTGTGTGTTATATTTAATTTTATATTGTATTTTATCCAATCCTAAATAATTAACATTATTTTCAAAATATAAGACAACTGAATTATAACTTGAAGTTCAATTGAGGGAGTAACTTTAGGTTAATAATTTTTTAAGTTCAATACACTATTGTTTAAGTCTTTGCATTTTAAACTTCAAAATAAACATGTGATGAATTATTTTTTATAATAAAAAAAAACATGAGTATAAACCCTTTGTGGCCAAAGTTGAATTACAGGTAAATCTGCAGTAATTAGTCCTCTTAAAAATATTTAACATTGACACAGGTAGTTACTTTGATTATTATAAATTATCATTTTTGATACATAAATTAGTAATTAGGTTAGGCCTACACAATTTCATGTTCTATTCTAAGAACAAAATATAAGATTGTAAGATTGTTGTATTATTATCCCCCCACTCAAATCTAATTAAATCAAATTCAGATACAAATTGAGCGGTTTCCTGGATAGCGTATACACTTTCCATTGCGTCGTCTCGCAAGAACCGCTATGAATTTAATCAAACTGGAAGTATCGAATTCACTGGGCGGCCTGAACATAATGTCTCTATCGACATGCTCTCCGAGTTTGGGAAACAACGGTGAAATTAATTGTTCCTCTTTGACATATCCATTGCTTAACAGGCAGCTGATAGTATCACAATTACTACACAGACTGTCAAACTATGTCAAGACTTTAAAATCAACATGAAAGAAAAGTTCTTTCTGATCTGTTCACTCTTTTTAATTGAATTTTGAATAATGATTATGAATTTTTATGTATTTCTGATATGACTACAATCTGAATTGTATATTCTTGTAAATTCAATATATGTATTTTTGATATGATTGCAATAAAGAGAAATTTGATTTGACTTGAGTACTGTGCATAATTACATAACTGATCTGTTTATTTAAATATACTTCTAAAATATTTATTTTAATATGAAACAACAGAGGTTAGCAAATCTTCACAAATACTTTTTTTTATGTTACTTTACAGTAATACTGTACTTCCTAGCGTTTTAGTATTAGTTTTCTCTCGCAAAATCATCATTACGTCTATGGATTTCAAGTTGTTGTTACTGTACATCACATTATGCTATGCAAAAAAAAGGTTTCTTGTCTGAACTTTGAAAAAGTAAAAAAAATTATTGAGGCATCAATAATTGAAGTGAGCAGGAACAAAAAAAAAAATTTTTATTTGGCCTTACTAACAAATATATTACAGTACATTTAATTTACAATGAGTAAGCACAATTCATGGTTGTATAAATTTTTAGGTGATTCATGTATTAAAAATAAGGTTTAAAATATAAGTTGATGTCCGCCTAAAAGTTACTTTAGTTTCTTCTATTGCGTTGGTTCTAACACTACATCTTTTGATAATTATTATTCTGATAATATTATTAATATTGATAAAAGCGTCTGATACAAACAACATAAACAAAAACTATTTTGTTCGACAAAATTAATAAATTTTAATTTCTTCTATGATATAGTACCTATTCAATTTGTAATTTGCAGTTTTACCAGACTAATATTTTTTAAGCAATCAATGGTATTACTCAAAATCACATGACATGTTATGTTAAAACATTTTATAATTAAACTACAGATACCATAAAATAATGTATTCATGTGTAACAATGCAGTGATTTAGGTACAGTATTTAACCATCCAAATCAACTTTTTATTTTCAGACAAATTATTTGCTGGATTGTAAAGTTTACAATACAATATAAACTTCATTATCTCACAAATAAGAAAATTAAATTTTGGCCTGCAGTACTGTTTGTTAAGAGCATTGTCCTCTGAAAGTTTAGTCATAAAACAGGAACTTTGAGGTTTCATACAGAAAAGACCTTGATGTAATAAAACATAAGAATAACCTTATACTGTAAAAAGGTTAACACTTAATAATATCATTGATTATTTATCATAATTAATTCTGAGGGAATCAGTTTATTGTGGTAAAAGGATTTAAACAGTTAAACAAAAGTGTTACATTTGTAGCCTAGTGGAATTTTAAAAAAGTAGACGATCTGTTTCTCACTGAAAGTTGTTAATTCATTTTATGTTTTGAATGACCAATTCAATGTCCTTATTTACTTGTTTAGGGTTTTTCCAGATTGTATATTTTTAATAGTTAATTAAAAGAAATTAATACAGAACAAAACATACAATTTTTTTTTCTACTGTAATCTTACCTGTGATCTCTCAGATGATCTTGTCGTCGGAAGGCTTTGTGACAGATGTCACAAGAATACGGCCTCTCATCAGTGTGTGTCCGCTCATGAATCAGCAAATTATAAGACTTAGTGAAATGTCGTCCACAATATTTGCAAATAAATTCTTTCTTCGCCCTTGTAGGACCTCTCCCTCGTTTTCGCTCTTCTGATCTGGAAGCACCGAGGTGTGGAATTTTTGCTGAAGCTGGTACCAGAAAATTTTGGTCAGCATTACACGGTCTTGTTGCTGAATCAGCAAGGTTAGCAAAGTCAAACTTAGGGGCCTTATTCTGTGGAGCCGGAAGAAGTGGTGCCATGGACGGCACCATGGATTTTCCTGCATCTAGCTTAGTGGTAATTGAGCCTGGAATAAGGTCCGATGGTAGTCCTCCAGGAAGAGAGCTAGGTATTACAGGATAACCTGTGTATCCGTGACTCCAGGCAGCACTTATTGAGAACAATGGTATGTGTTCGTGTGCTTTCTGTAGGCCTGATGTTGCAGCCGAGTAGCTGAGGCTACCTACTGGTGTGAAAGCTGATGCGGCTAATGCTTGGCTGGTCGGCGTTAAGGGAGGAGTGGGTGGACTTTGCCCCTTTACCCGTTTTAACTCTGAAAGAACAAAATGACAATAGCTGTAAAAATAATTTTACACTTGTACGGATAGATATACTGTAGTCATTACAAAACACAAAGTAAACCCATTTTTATTTTGTGCAATCTAAGGCGAGAAATTTTTTTTACCTTTTTTTGAGAGCCATTTTTTTAAAGTTCGTCTCGGGAGGAATATGTTTTTCTATGTAGCAAATAGTTTTGCAAAAGGGGTCCAGATGGAGAAGAAAATAAAAATAAAATTTTATTGGTGAATGAAATAGTGTAGTAATGGGATAGTTATATATAATTATGAAGAAACATACATATCTTACTTTTGGAGATTTCAAGGCAGCAGTGGGTGGAATAAAAATAAAGAAAATTATTGATAGACGGCGGGTTTTCTAAACGAAGATATAAAAAAAGTCTTGATATATATATATAT